TGCCCTCACATCATCATCATCATCATCCTTCGCCCTTCCTTGACTTAACACCCACACCTGTCCTCTCTTGCACCCGAAGACCACCACCCCTGCGCCTGCTGTGTATCCAAGCCCAGCCCGCTATGGAGGCTGGCTATGGCGCTGCCCTTGGCAGCGCCCTGCTCCCACACACGACCGCACGTGCGCAGCCTCTTGCTTCAATGCCGGCAGCCAGCCCGCGAGCAATTGCTCCAGCAGCGCTGCCGCCAGCCATCAAGTGACCGAATGAGGCTGCCAGCGGAGAGCTGTTTCCTTTATGGAAAGAGCTGGCCTGCTTGCCCTGCCTGGCTGCCCTGGCCTAGAGCCAGAAGCTTCCGGAAGGCCGCAGGAGGCTGCCTGTGTACAGCAGCTACTGGGCTCCTGGGCCTCGTTCGGTTGGGTGACCAACTGTCTCTGTATGAGGCTGTGAATCACGCCCAGGGCCTGCATTCTTTGGAAAAGCCCGGAGGGCCGTGGAGATGTCTTTGTTGCCCGGCCTGAGTTTCTCTCAACCAACTGGCGCGTCGCAACTGCCTGGACCCCAAATATGAAATCGACAGTCGAGGGCCTCTTGTCAGGCCCGCCTTCACTTAGGGCGGGCACCTCCGCCATCACTTAGGGCGGGCACCTCTGCCTTCACTTAGGGCGGTCACCTCCGCCTTCACTTAGGGCGGGCACCTCCGCCTTCACTTAGGGCAGGCAATGCTGCAAACAGGGCCCCCTAGGCCTACCGAGGACCCTGATCCTCGCATTCCCTCCTCCTTTACTTCGTTAGTCCTCTGAGAAGTCTCTTATTCTGCAGGCATCTTCCCTTCTCGTTCTCTTTCATAGCCTGCAATCACTTGAGGTGCTGTTCTCACGAGTTCCTCTCGTGTGAACCAGCGATCTTCTTGGGATCGAGGTGATGTCTGAAGCTCACACGATACTGCATTCTCGGTTTAGGAGAAACCCTCTGCCTGATGGTCGAGGAACAGGCATCATTCGATGCTCCACAATCTGATCGATGTCCACCTCGCCGTCCATGGTTGGGGGCAGCATTGATCTTCTTGAAGGAAACTGCTCTGTGCCAACTTGGAAGCATGGAACATAGGGTAAGTGCGTAGGTGTGCAGGAATATGGATCACGTATGAAGGCCCATCTGGTTGATCCCCTACAATGTCCAAGATCTCCCAGGGCCCAAAATACTCTGGCATCAGTTTTCTGGATATCCCCATCTCCTGACCTAGTTCAGATGACTCTACCCAGACTACCTGAACCGTCTTTGCTTATTCTCAGATGCGATCATAGCATCCTGAGACTTCTTAATATGTTCAACGGCCTGCTGCAGCATCAGTTCGTATTTGACAGCAAAGTCTATGCTGCCAGGTGCTGCAGTGGGTTGTCTTTTTGGTAGCAGAAAGTCAAGTGCAGTTCTGGGCTTCCAACCAAGATGTAATTGGTTGGGAGTCATACCGGTAGTACTGTGCACAGCATTGTTGTACAGGCTGGCGACGAGCGGTAACTTCTCGTCCCAGTCGTCCTGACTTGGCTTGATATAGTGCCTAAGCAGGTGCTGTACTACTCGGTTCATCTGTTATGCCTGGCCATTTGACTCAGGATGATTCCCTTACGTCATCTGGAGCTTTGTCCTCATTTGTTTAGCAGTCGATTGCCACAGTTCACTTGTGAATCTTACATTTTTGTCACTGACTATAGATGTAGGTAGACCGAAATCCCTTACCCAGTTATCCATGAAGAATTTAATGACATAGTCAACTTTAGCACTTTCAGGCATAGCGATTAGTCTGGCATACTTAGAAAAACGATCCACTATAGCGAAGATGTGTCTCTTTCCAGACCTGCTGGTCACAAGGGTGTCCATAAAATCCATAGACAATCTGACCTGGTCCTCCAAGAATCGGCAAGGGCTTAATCAGCCCAACCGGTGCCTAAGTCCTTGGTTTGTCCCTTTGGCAAACCTGGCAGGTTTCAACATAGCGTTTTGCATCTAACATCATAGAGGGCCACCAAAATCTTTGTACTAAGTTCGCTGATGTCTTCTTGTACTCAAAATGACCAGTTGCATCATGGCATTCTCCTAAGAATAAACTACGCAAAGACTCACTACTGGGAACACACAATCTTTTATTCCCTGCCTTTTCAAGAAACAGCAAGCCGTCTACCATCGTAAATTCGTCCAAAGTATTTTTGTCCTTAGCCTGGAATCTACGGATGATCTCAGACATAACTGGATCTTGCTGATAGGCATCCACCAATGATCGAGTCAAATCACTAGATATGCCAAACTCAGTCACTAGTGCGCCCAGATAATCCACCCGGCGAGATAACGCATCAGCCACTTTGTTATACTCTCCCTTGATTGGATCAAGTTGATAGTCATACATGTCTATCACTTGAATCCATCGCTTCAATGCGTCAGAGAGGACTGGCTGTGTCTTAATCCAGCGCAAGGTCTCATGGTCAGATCTCACGTAGAAGAATTTGCCAAGGAGATAGTGTCTCCAATGTACCAGCGCTCTGTACAGGGCATAGAGCTCACGCTCATAAGTGGACTTAGCTAGTTTCTAAGATGACATCTTTTTGCTCATGTGCTCGATAGGTCTCAACTTGGGCCCCTCCTTTTGCGCAAGGACCGTGCCTGTGCCATATTGGCTGGCGTCTGTGATCACGACAAATGGCTTATCTGGATCAGGAAGTTTAAGAACATCATAGTGTGTCAGAGCGTACTTCAGTTTCCTAAAGGCCGCCTCACACTCTATCATAGTGTGTCAGAGCGTACTTCAGTTTCCTAAAGGCCGCCTCACACTCTTCAGTCCACTCCAAGGGGTGTCCAGTCAAGTGAGATCCGTCAATGGGGACGCTATAGTACTATAGTTCTTCACAAACGGAAGATAGTAGCCCGTCATCCCCACAAACGATCTAACCTCAATAACAGTCTGAGGTATGGGCCAGTCACGTATGCTGGCCACCTTGGCATCATCCGGCCTCAGTCCATCTGCTGAGATTTCATGAACCAAATACAAGATCTTGGTGCGACCAAACTCGCATTTCTCCAAGTTAACCTTGTACTGGTGCTGTCTTAGGAGACCTAGCACTGTTTTCAAGTGCTCAGCGTGCTCCTCTACAGTCCTACTAAAGATGAGAATATCGTCGAGGTACACGACGATAAACTTGTCCAAGTAGTCATGAAAGATCCTATTCATCGCGTGCTGGAACGTACCAGGCGCATTGCATAGGCCAAAAGGCATCACTACAAACTCGTAAAGACCGTACCTGGTTTGAAATGCGGTTTTGTGTTGATCCTCAGGCCTAACGGCAATTTGATGGTATCCGGACTTCAGATCTATCTTTGTGAAGTACCGACATCCCTGCACCCTATCCAAGAGGTCATCAATGCGAGGTAGGGGCTCCGCGTTCTTAACGGTGATGGCATTGAGGCCCCTATAGTCAATGCACATCCTCAAGGTACCTCCCTTCTTCGGTACGAATAGGACTGGAGCGCCGTAAGGGGAGGTACTAAGCCGAAGCCATCCCTTCTCTGTGAGCTCCTTGAGCTGGCGGCGAAGCTCATCTAACTCTGCAGGAGGCGTCCTATAGATTCGTCCTCTAGGCACCTTGCTACCTGGGACAACCTCTATTGCATGGACAACCTCCCTTTCCACCACGCTTGTGGGCTCCTCAAAAAGGTCTGAATATTGTGCGACGACTGATTCTATCTATGGGGGGTGTTTTAACGGCCTCCACTTTCTCAGAGACAAAGACTAAGTACATGCCCTCCTTGCGATTCTGCTTATAATAGTTATAGAAAGATGATGCACACATGCACCCGTAGTTTTCTATCAAACTGCTAGCTTTAAACTTATGCAATCTAACAGATCTACCGTTGGGCAATTTGTGAATCAACACCTTTCTATCCCAATCAAACTGCGGTTGCGCGACCTCGAGGTAGTACATACCTAGGAGCATATCAAAGGGCAGTTCGTCGCTAACCAGGAAGGAGATTTTATGGCTCACCTCCCCTCCTCCATAGGAGAAGGTACAGACTACGTCCTTGACATAGTCTTTTACCAACATTTGGCGCTTGTTGGCCAGCGTAGAAGCTACAGTTCTGCTAAGCCGCTGCACTTGGTCCCCTAAGCGCAGTCTGTCCACACAAGCACGCCTACCTACATCAACCTCTACCACGAAATGTTCACCCTTTGGACCTCTACCACGAAATGTTCAACCTTTGGACCTCTGCTCATCATCGCCCAAGAGTCCCTGGGGTCCTTTCATGACCACTCAGTCTCTAACTCCTCTAGGGCCTCAGACACATCTCTCGAACAGAGCGTCGGTGGGTCTGAATGTGTCTGCGGGGCGATACGTGGGTCACTAGCCTTAGCCAACGCCTGAAGTGGGGAAGGCAACGTAACCACTTCAGCGCAAGTAACAACGGCTAAAACTCCTACTGGCCCGAGGTGTTTCCCTGCGAAGTGCTCGCAGAAGCACCGCCAGAGTTCAA